GGTTTATTCTGAAAATAAAACCAGATGTTTTAATGTTGTTTTGGTATCTGACTTCCTGTCCCGTCCTGCTCGATATGTTATGTGGTAAATTGTTGCGCCCTGCTCAGCCATCGGTCAAAAGTAGAAGCCTTGTGTATCTGCTGAGACTGAAAACACGCATCTGGTGGAATTTGGCAGAAAGGGCCCGATCACGTAGAGAGAAAGCGTCGCCAAAACTATTGTTATCGTCTAGTACAGTGCGCTTTCTTCGTCCATTTATCCCTTTTGGCCGAAGCAGCCAATCAAATCAAGTAGGAGAAAAGCAGCAGCGAGATCTCTATGTTTGGTCGAATTCCATTTTTTAAAACAAAGAGAAAGACGGCTCGCACACTGCAGGGGCTCCAATACTCCACAAATTGATTTCATCAAGGAGCACGCCTGCTCTTCATCAGACACGAGTCGACAGAGTCTGATGAAGAGCAGGCGTGCTCAAAACATCACATTCAAACCAGCAGAGGGTGTCAGCTCATGCCTCGACCCAAATCCCCCCCCCCGGTGTGATTATTGTATCATTCACAATGTCTGGACGCTCTGCGACGACTTCTCCCTGATTAATGAGCGTGATCTGTGCAGGTGGCGTCAGTCTAATTAGGATTAATTAGCTTTAACATCCAAAGTCAGATGTAGGGCGCAGCAGGTGGAGCGGGCAGGAGCCACTTTGTTTGGCTTAGACATCAGGATCCATATGACAGCCAGATTGTTTAACGGGCAGATTAGAGTTGGAGAAATTTGCACAGCAGCCTCAACACAATTTAAAAATACAATATGTAGAAGTTTTACACTAAAACGGAGTAGCAGAGAGGATCACTCCCATGATTCCCCGTCTGCCTTGAAGGCATCTTTTGTTATTGTTTTGATTGAGAGCCCCCTGGTGGCGGAATTTTACATGCTGTGTGGTCTAAAGTAAAGAGCTCAGACAATAAGATCACAAAAGTTATAACAATGAACCCTGAAGGGAGCATGAATGTCTGGATCACATTTGAAAGGGCAAGATATACGCACATCACGTGCAGAGAGAAGATACGCCTGCACACGTGCTTGGATGCCACAAATATAAGTTTTTACTTATTAAGAGTGCGACATTAAACATTTCCTTGAATTAAACTTTTTTTTGGAAAAGTTTAAAAATGTTTAAAATCCCCAGATATGAACAAATCCAACATATTGTACATCGTAATAGTTACTGTAACTTAGAAGACATAAATGTCCTTGTAGGACTGTCGAACGATTTGAAATGTTTGTCGCGATTTATCAGATTTTTGATGTTTGAAATTCCATTATTTCACATTTAAAAATAAAACTTGTGAGACTTTTATTTTGAATGTTTGTACTATCTTTAGCTGAGTGTTCTTTTCTTCCTGTTTGAACTTAACCCTACTTTTACTCTGAAATACAGTAAGTTATGGTTAAAGATCTTACTCATTGTTAAGAAAAATGGGATGGGGGAGATGGGATAAGATGCAGGAAGGATTTCTCCTTTGTATTCCTCACGTTCCTGTTGTCCACACTTCCTTGGTGCGCAGGCCGTGCACGGTGGTTGTGGAGACGACACAGTCCGATGGTGGTGGCTGGTAGTATTCCCAGATCATCTCGCTTCAGGTTGGGGAGCTCCGTCTACTCGAGAGTTAAGGCCTCCTGGGCTTCTAACACTCTGCCAGTGACAAACATTCAGGATTAGTATTTCTTAGGATTAGTCTTTGATGCTGATGTTGACGTGTTTCACCTCTGGACATTTTGAATGTTTGACCACACCTGCCATCATAATGCCTATCAGCCTAGTGGTGGAGAAATCTTTTTATAAGGGTGTGGCCCCCATTTTTTTTTTTAAATGACCACCCGAAGATGACCTCTGGTTGAATCATTGTGATTTAAGTGTGCGGGCATATCTTCCTCTCTCTCTGGACCATATTTCATCACATTGAGTCGTTGAGGTATTTCAGTCTGAGTCGAAGCAGCGGAGCAACATTCTTCCCTTCTCTGCTGAAATCAGATGGCGTCATTATTATTAGCCTCCATCTTGAATTACAGGTGTTGTTCCTGCCAGCGGCTTCCTGTCTCAGTGAGTCTCAGTTACTCCTCGTGGGTAAAAATAAACAAACTCGATCTCATGGAGGAGCCTGTGTCCTGTAGACAAGAGGCTGCAGGTCAGTTCTGAATGATGGAGCCTCTCAAAGGAATATCACATTATTTCTATCTGGACGTGCATCGACGATAAAACACAGAAATTAATCTCTTATGGATAGAGGAGACAGATGAGAAGATGGGTATTAGTTTCATCTCTGTGAGTCTTGATCATTGACTGTCTGTGTGTAAAGATGGACGACATGTCTCCACCTCCTATATGTAGAAAAGTGAAGCCAAATCATTCCTGCAATCTTGTTCTGGTGAGTTGATGCTCGGATAGTGGAGCTGTTCTTCCTCTAACCAAAACACACATTTAATATACTGATATTTGGAATTTAATCTTCACAGACACCGATGTCTTTTTCAACATAATGATGCTAAGAACTCGGTCTACTTCCTGTCATTAGTTCACCGTGAGGCTGCAGGGAGTGTTGGTCTGCAGCATTGTTCAGAGCAGCGTAAAGAAACCAGGAATGTTATTTTTCCAATTCTCTGATGGTTTACTGTCACACTGCTTGATTCTCAATTCAAGTTTTAAAAGCTGTTTTCCTGACCTCTCTTCTTCTCCGTAGGGTGAGACGGAGATCCCATCAGTCGCCGTCACAAAGTCTCCCAAAGGAACCGGCCTGGACGGGCTGGAGATCGAGCCTGACTTGTATGACATCCCTGTCGACCTCTCCTCCGACGAGGAGTACCTGAGCTTGGATGAGGCCGACCCGTCGAGAGCCGCACGCATTAAGAAATCAGTCGCAAAGAGCACGGAGACCCTGAAGGCCGCCTTCTCCAAGGAGAAGATGAACAAGACCAAAGACAGCCTGGGCACCAAGTTCCACAACCTGGGAGATAAGGTGATGCCGCAAGAGCGCAGGGACAAGATGCACCAAGCCGGCGAGCGGCTGAAACAGTCCGGCGAGCGGTTGAAGGAAAACATCGCCAAGAAGGCTCCGAACAAAGAGACCTTCCGCATCAAGCTGAAGAAGGAGAGAGCCGTCGCCGAGGGCCAGGAGGGCGCAGAGGCCGGGGCCGAGGCCGAGGCCCAGAGCGCAGAACCAGAGGAGCTCCCGGGGGTCGCCTACACTGAGGTAGCCATGGAATCCAAGAGGGAGGGGCCTGTGGAGGAGGCCGGCGCCACCCGGATAGGGAAGTAGATCAGACGACATGTCAGTGAGGAGGAAGGACATTGGAGAAAGGGTGTGATCAGCTGGCATCGATGAAGAAGATCTTTATTTCAGGAGTGTATTAAAACAGAAGATGGTCTTGGGATGGGTCTCCGCTCCGACACCAAAACTCATCAGGATATAAACTGATTACTTATCAGCTCTTATTCAGGGTCAGGTTACTTCCTGCTGACAATACCACAAATACATTAAAACAACAATGTGAGAATCTGTATTTTTTGTAAGAAAAATTAATCTTCAGAAGTTCATATCTCAGAGTGTCAACAGATCGTGTTGTGATACGTGTCCGCAGTCGGAGTACAGGTTGGGTCAAGGTTTATTTTGAAAAGATGGCTGGAATGTTAAAAAAAAAGGTTACTTAAGGATTATGAATGTTGGTCTAAGGTTCATGTTTTGATATTTTATCTGGATGTACATATGTTGTTGTACAAACTACCTGAACTGGTGACGGTGTAATTCGGTCCGAGCAGGCCTCAGCAGCTGGTCTCTGAGGAGCCCGCTGAGAAAATAATAAACATGGATTCAACTTCAGACTGGTTTCTGTATGCAGTTAGGAACATGGCAGTAAAGTTAGAGTAAACTTTAAGGTGCTTAAAAGCCACCGCCGTGATTGTTTAGGTAGATATTCAAGCTGCACAGGGAGCCAAAGAGACAGAACTCAGTTTTGGGAGCTGACCGTGTAGACCATGAAAGGGTGAAATAAGGTTAGCATGACCACATTCACATCAGCAAGAAGGTACATTGAAACAAACACTTTGGGGACAATTTTTTGAAATGCAAAACAGTCGATCTAAAGGAACATAAAACAGACAAAGAGGAAGCTTCTAACAATCTCCAAAGGGTAACTTAAAAACTTAAAGTAAAAGCACCAAAAACAAATGCTAAGGGTATCTTTCTAACACACTTAAAGGTACCTTGATACGTAACCAAAAGTACCTTCAAACGGAACCAGAGGGTGCTTTTATACAAACTCTAAAGGTTAGCTTTAAATGTGTGCTAATGTTGCGAAAGCAGACAGCAAAAAGTACCTTGAAAGTTTGGCTAAAACAACATGGGACATATACTTAAGGTACCTAAAACTGGCCCTTAAGAGAACCTTCTTTCACACACTTAGAGCCCCTTGAAGCTTACTCTCAATGTACCTTCAAACGGATGCTAAAGGGTACCTTAAAACCACTGGTTTCTTGGAAATTATGCTAAAGGTACCTTTAAACTGATGCCACCATTACCTTGAAAAATACAGTAAAGGTTTTAATTTTACAAACACTAGGGTTACCATAAAACAAACACTAAGAAACTTAAGGGAACCATCTAACAAACCCTTAAGAGCAACCTCAAACTGATGATAGAAATATTCTTACAAACTCTTAATTGTAGCTTGAAATGTGTGCTAAAGGTACCTGAAACAGATACTCAAATTCATGTTAAAATGAATACAAAAGGGTACCTCAGAAGTCACCATTAAGGAATCTTCAAAAGACTGAACGTCTCTAAAACTACAAATGGCAAACTTGTAAGTTACAATAAGATACCTCCGAAATTATGCTACAGCTAACCCCCTAACAAACCCTATAGGGTACCTGAAAATTCCTGCTTCCCTGATCAGTGCTAGAATGACCTTTAAGCATATATTAAGAGTCACTTTAAAAAAAATGAAATGTAAGTTGACACTTAATCCGCAGGGTACCTTAAACACACACTTAAAGGGAATTGGATAAACCCCAAAGGGTTCCTTGAAATGTACACCCCAGCTACCCCCGAACTGAAGGTAAACGGTAACCTTCTTTCAAATTCCAAATGGTAGCGGGAAACTTGTGCTTTAGGTTCCTATCACAGATACTTCAAAGGTACTAAGAAACAAATGCTAAAGGGTACCTCAAATGTAACTTGACACCTTTTTGAAGATACTGTTACCTTGAAACAAACATTAAAGGCACCAATTTTAAACACTTAACCTTGACATGTATGCTAAAGGATAACTTAAACAGAGACTAAAAGAAGCCTTTAACAAGGGTACCTTGAAATGTACAGTTATGGGTAGCTTTTAACAAAGTTTAACAGTACCTTAAACGCTAATACTATTTTGTATATTACGCTTAGTATACCAGGTGCATTTAAATACTGAGTGTAATGTTAAAATGATGCTCAAGGTTGCACCGGACATGGATGATAAAGAGTCCCTTTACACTGCTCCCCTAAATTCAGATCTTTGGATTTGTATTTTTGGAAAGTGGTCTTATCAAACACTTTGACCAAATCTTTGCTCAGTGCAGCTTTAAAGGTCACATATTATACAAAATACCCTTCTCCATGTTCCTCTGACTCTTAATATGTGTCTCTAGTCTGTCTACAAACCCCCCAATGAAGAGAAAAGTCCATCCTCTCCGTCTTCTGCCTGCTCCACTTTTCAGAAAATGTGTGCTCAAAAAGGCTGTTTGGAGATTTTCCCTTTATGACATCACAAAGGGCAGTAGCCCCTCCCCCAGGTGGGTGACAGTCCCACAGCTAGGTGTTTGTTCTGCCCTCTGAGTCTGCCTACTCACCGTAAACAATAGGACATGGAGCGAGAAAGCTAGAGACACCCAAGCCCTTCCAGAGAGGAGGCGTGGTCAGACACAGCTCATTTACATATTTAAAGGTACAGACACAGAAACAGCCTGTTCTGAGCAGGGCTGAAATAGAGGGGTTTATAGACATGATCAAATACAGGATCAGAGTGGATTTAGAACAAGAAACTTCACACACATGTTTTGAGGAGCTCTGACACTTATTTAACCTTTTAGAAAAAAATAATAAAATATGTGACCTTTAAGCTCCTATCAACCACTTTGATCAAATCTTTTGCTCTGTGCAGCTTTAAGTTTGTTTGAGCAGCACATGCAGTACAGTAGGTAGTGATAGAAAAAATACTTTGCATGAACTTCAGAGCAACACAGCCTCTTAGATTTACTTTCGACACTAAGCTTTTGTCATATTTTAGACGTTACTCTGCGATTACTCATCCGAACGTAAACGTGGAGGGGTTTGAGGCGTGCGTTTTGGTGGCTTCAAAGCTTTTCGAGCTCTGCTGAATTTTGATGTATGAATGTTTAATTTTTTTTTTTTCAATTTTGCTGCTTGATATTCATAGTTTCTTTTGAAGTTTGGTGAGCACTGACTTAACTCTCCGTCAGTGATTAGTGAGGCTGCTGCTTTGTTAGAGATGATAGAAACGACGTGTTTTGGTGTTTTGTTACAGCTAGCTTATATTAGCTGATATGCTGATTTTATTCAACTTTTTCTGATATATACATGTTTAAAAACCGACTATTTATGTTCCTGTGATGCTGTTACTGAGTCAGCGTGTGCTTCAAGGCCGCAGAAAGTTTCACATTTGTCTGTTTGAACATTTTCACCTCTTTGAAAACAGTTCGGTTTCTCGTTTTCAGTTATCCAGTTTTAACCCTTCCGACTGACTGAACAGCTGATTTAGCCCTACCTTGTGTTGTTGTTTTTAGTCCTAACTGTATGAGCACCAGCAGTTATTAAAAATAACTTTTGTTTTTGTATAAAGTTCTCACCTGTATGAGCCTGTTACACTGCAATAAAAAAACTTGCCACATGTTACCCAAGGTGTTGTACTTTACTTGAGTATTTTTGATCTTTGCAACTTCGACTACAGTCTCTAATCATCTGTTTTGATTATCTGGACTTTGCAGATTCACGAGAGATCGAACGAGAGTGCATGGTGCATGGTGCACGCTCTCTCATCACAACAAGTCACGGCATGTCCAGCCATGTGTTCAGAACGTGACACCATGGCGTGCGCTTTCACACCACATGTCACACCTACACATTCACACACTGATGGCTGCTCAGAGGGTGACCATCAGAAGTAACTCATCGCATTCTTACACATTCACACGTCGCTGACGAAGCAGCGGGAGGACACATCGGACATGTTGCTGCAGGCCCGAGTACGATACGAGTACAGAACACCGACCAAATGAATCAGACTTTGGAGTCAAACACGTTGTCGGACCCGGTCCCGGTCCCTCGTATTAAACCACGAGTGGTTTGAAGGACTTTCGACTACCACTTCCCCCTCCAAAAAGACCACACCCCCATTTGGGTGAAAACCAGTAAAGACAGATAGATGAGAATGCACCGGTACCCCCCAGATTAAATGTGTTTGTTTTGATCACTTCCATCTGAAACCTGTGTTTAAGAGCAGCTAGCAGCAGAGGCTCAGATCATCTCTCCTCTCCGCCACTGTCGCTCCCTGAGCTCATCTCTCCGCGGCTCAAATTAAATCACTAACTCGATGTCGGCTCGAGCAAAACACGATCACTCAACTGAGTCAGCAGGCTCCTGCAGATTCACTTCTCCGCCGGCGCCCGCACCTAAATGAAACGCCAATCATTTTGGTTCAGCCCGGAGGGAATTTACAGTTCGACTCATCTCTGTGTGTGTGGGCGGAGGTCTCAGCATGCACTTTGTCAATTGTGGATTTATTGGCCCTAAAACAAACACCGGGGCTCTTACTTCCTCACAGAGTCCAATCAAACGGACCGGCTGAGACATTAAGTGAGTGAAGATGGAGGGTCGGAATAGATGCTCCGACTGGAGGAAGAAATATCACATTTCTCCTTTTCCAGAGCTTTATTTTGAAGGGACACCTGACCAGAGAAAACACGGGATGTTTGCTTTAATGTCAAATACGTTTATGGTCAACCGCTTCAAAACCTTTCAAGGTGTGAGGTCACCGAAAGTATCCACGAGTGGCGGCCTTGCGTTGGGATCCTGCTCGCCCTGTGTCACGTTCCACTCTGCTTTAACAACACCCTCACTGTAATCATCTGTAAAGTGTGTGATTGTGTGTGTGTTTGTGTGTGGGGGGGGGAATGAATGAGCTGCACACTCTGCTCTCTGCAGGCTGTCAGCTGCTCCGTCTAATTTCAGCACGGCTGCTTTTTATAACCTTTGGAAAGACGACACAGCGACATCGTCTGCACCTCCCGCCAGTCGTCGCCCACTGGGCACCTGTGTTTCACCTTTTCCTGGTTGTCAAGGCAACCGTACCCATCAAAGCCTTTAGAGTGGAGTGAAGCAAAATGACGTTAATTAATTTTCCCCTCGTTCAGGCAGATCTGTGATCCCCCGAGCCACGTGCAGACTGCGTCACTCTGCAGAGTTGTCGACGCCAAAAAAAACATTATTTTTGATTTATTTCAGCGTTTAGGAAAAGAGAGGCAGAGAGAAAGCGACGGAGACGCCACCCCAGAGTGATTCCACTCAGCTCCATCTGTTTGTTATGCATTAGCCGAACACAATCGAGCTCTTCAAGCAATCTGCGGAGGAGAAACGGCCCCCGAGTGATTCCAGTGCAGAGAAGGATCCACCACTCCATTTAAACATTTTCATCTTCTACCTAAGGGTGCGAACACTTCTTCTTCTGTGAAAAAAAAACCCACATCAATACCCCGTGATCTGACTTATCAAGTCTGTTCTCTGAGCAGAACTACAGGTAATCATTCTCTCTCACAGGTGGGATTTACAGTTTGTCACCATTAGCACGAGCGAGTCTGCACTTAATCCAGGACCGTGTTCTTTGGTTTGTTTCATTACCTGAAAAGTCAAACTCTCCGGTTACGATTCAGGGACGCTCTGCTCTAAACTTCTTTCAGCCAGGACTGAATTTATGTTTTTTCTTTGTGCACAGTGACAGCTACGAGACCACAGAAGAAGAGCTATTCACCGAACAAAAGAAGCAGTCAGCGTTACAGAGAACCAGGGGCCGAAAGAGAGACTGAGAAAACACATTGCATTTCTGCAGCATCAACAAGCAGATAAACAACTGTGTCTCCTAGAAATCACTTTCATGGAGGCTGAGAGTAATTTGCAAAGAAACACAAAGCCCTCTGAATGAGATGCAGATTAAAGGATGTGTGCCCAGCTCTGCAAATATGCTATATGTAAGCGCCTGTCACAGGAGAGATTTTACCTTCACTTGTACAAAAGGAGGAGGTGGAGACGGGTTGTCCATCTTTATTTACAGTCAGTGGTTTCAACAAACTGACTCAAAAACACCAGACAGAATGAGCTTTAAAATGCAACATCTGAAGAAAGAGAGTACAAAATGTCTGATTATTATTTTTTACATTTGTGATTCCCTCCAACTTCTCCGTGCTCTGTTTCTTTGAGTGGTGGTGGTGAGCTGGAGCTGTCGGTGAAGCAGCTCTGCGGCTCGCTCAGCGTCATCGTCCGTGCATCAGGCCTGTCAATCAAACGCAGTCACAGGGGAGCCCGGCCTGTGAGCTCACACGCAGGCAGGGAGAAAGCCTGCAGACCAAACAAACACCTTCTCCCTGTAATGCCTCCTGCGCCACAAGGGGGCATCGTTTGATACATGTGTTTGATTAGCAGTATAGAGATTACAAAAATATATATATTCTGTAAGGTAACTGAAGCCATCAGACAAATAAAGTTGAGTTAAAATAATGTACAATATTTACCATTAATGGGCCACCTGCTGTGTACCTTGAAACATATGTTTTACAAGTGATCAAACATGCAAGTAAAATTAGATAATAATAAAAAAGTTCAGTTTGGATTAATTATCAGTTTTATAGACTCCAATTAACATCAAATATCTTCAGAATCAGAATCAGAATCTGGATTTATTGCCAAGTACATTTACACATATAAGGAATTTGACTTGGTGTATTGGTGCTAAACAATTAACAGAACTAGCAACAACTTAAATAATACAGAATAAGAAGATATTACAATATATAAAATATAATTTAAAAATGTAAAATGTAAAATATAAAAATAAAAAATAAAGATAAGAAACACAAAATGTACAAAAGGTGTGATGTAGGAGCTGTGTAGTGGTGTATGATTGTGCTCCCCCTGGTCTCTCTCCCATAATAGAATAGAATAGAATAGATGTTCATTGCCATTTGCACAGGTACAGGACAGTACAGGTACACTGGAATTCTTGTGCGTTTCTCCCTGATTCAGCTTCTACAAAAAAAAGTTAAAATTATATATAAAATAAAATAGCATTAAAAGAGTAGAAAAGTACAGAAAAAGAAAAAGTAAAAATAAACAAGTTGTAGTAACAGCTAAGTGATTTAAAATAAACTGTACAGAAGTTATACACTGTATTAAAGCAAAGATATAATACAAAAAAAATAACAAGGGGAACACTGTACAATGAAATGAAAATATAAACACGTTTTCTTATTGCACTTATTATTTCTTAAGCTTTGCATTCTGTCAATGTAATAATTAATGTGCTTTCAAATTAACTTTCTATTCATCTATTCATTTTTATTTTTTTTATTTCTGTCTTTTGTTCAGCTCGAATAATAAGATATAATGCTGGTCCACACTCCAGCTCGGAAGGTGGCGCTGATACACCTTAAACGCGTAGGAACTGCCATTAAACAAAATCGAAGAAGAAGAAGAAGCAGCAGGAGACTGGCGGAAACCGGAAATGGACGACGCTGGTTTTTAACGGCGCTGAAAATTAGACGATATAAGTATTGGAGCTCGTTTCTGAGGTGTTATATAAAGTTGTTGGTACTGTTTTAACCTGCATACTTTAAAAAGCTTTCGAGAAAGTGCTTCATTTAAGTTTTAAGCATTATTTCGTTCGCCGTTGCCGTTAGCGACCTAGCGCTCGGTTGCCCCTAACAACCGAGAGGAAGCTAAACAGACAGCGGTTAGCATCGTGTTGGGTGAGAACAGAGAACTGAACAGAGAACTGAGAACAGAGAACAGAACTGAGAACAGAACAGAACAGAGAACAGAACAGAGAACAGAACAGAGAACAGAACAGAGAACAGAGAACAGAACAGAACAGAGAACAGAACTGAGAACTGAGAACTGAGAACAGAACAGAGAACAGAACAGAGAACTGAACAGAGAACAGAACAGAGAACTGAGGACAGAGAACTGAGAACAGAGAACAGAGGACAGAGAACTGAGAACAGAGAACAGAGGACAGAGAACTGAGAACAGAGAACAGAGAACTGAGAACAGAGAACTGAGAACAGAGAACTGAGAACTGAGAACAGAACAGAGAACAGAACAGAGAACTGAACAGAGAACAGAACAGAGAACTGAGGACAGAGAACTGAGAACAGAGAACAGAGGACAGAGAACTGAGAACAGAGAACAGAGAACAGAGAACTGAGAACAGAGAACTGAGGACAGAGAACTGAGAACAGAGAACAGAGGACAGAGAACTGAGAACAGAGAACAGAGGACAGAGAACAGAGAACTGAGAACAGAGAACTGAGAACAGAGAACTGAGAACAGAGAACTGAGAACAGAGAACTGAGAACAGAGAACTGAGAACAGAGAACTGAGAACAGAGAACAGAACAGAGAACTGAGAACAGAACAGAGAACTGAGAACAGAGAACTGAGAACAGAGAACAGATCCTGGTGTGTTTGATTGAAACAGTTGTTAATGGGGGACGAGGTGAGAAGAGGAGACGAAGAGGAGCGCGGGCCAGGTGCAGCTCACCAGGTGTTTGTGAAGATGGAGGCTCTGATGGAGAAGTTAAAGGTGTTAAACTACGAGGACGAAGTTCTGACCAAACACAACATGAAGAACCTGTCCAGGTGAGTCCAGGTGTGTCTAGGTGAGTCCAGGTGTGTCCAGGTGTGTCCAGGTGAGTCCAGGTGTGTCCAGGTGAGTCCAGGTGTGTCCAGGTGTGTCCAGGTGAGTCCAGGTGAGTCCAGGTGTGTCCAGGTGTGTCCAGGTGAGTCCAGGTGAGTCCAGGTGTGTCCAGGTGAGTCCAGGTGTGTCCAGGTGAGTCCAGGTGTGTCCAGGTGTAATGCTGACAGGCCCAGTGTAGAGTCCAGCAGTTATTCTCAAACCTTAACCCTAAACCAGTGTTCCTGTTAGACCATTAGTCATAATGTTCATTACCAGCGGCGCCGCCAGGAACTCCGGGCCCCGTGAAAAGATGTCACATTGGGCCCCTACAACGGCCCCAAACTAACCCGGAAAGTTTCTATGACCATCAAACAAATGACCCGTAAAAACAATTATTCTTTGTTTTACACCCTGAAAATAGAAGATAAATAATCACTGTAATATTTCCTCACAGCTTAAAAATAATGTAAACTTATTAATATTTGCACCTTTCAGACAGTTGAAACATTTCCAGCAGCATTATTTTACTCTTTAACTTGTTATAGTTAATGTTCTAAAGGCTTTTATTGTCTAAAGTGATCTTATTGGTTAGCTTATTAAATAAAAAAGTCTACTGGCATTAATGATAAACTGTAAACAAACAATAAATGTGAATTAGATTCTACCATGATTTTAAAATGAGACTGTAATAGTTCTTCTCAGTTCTGACTTCACTTTAATTCTTCTTCACTGCGTTATCATTTGTCTCACCTGACGTTCAAAATGTTGTTTTTTGGGCTGAAGTAGCGGACTCAGTTTACAAAGAATCTGTTGATATCAAACATGTTACTGTAGCTCGCTGGGAAAAACGCTCCAAAGTGGACTTTTTTTTTACCGCCATGTAATATTTTTACAAAATAGGGTCGTATGAAGTCGTATCTATGAAGGATTCATGTGATGAATTTATGCATAAAACACAAATTGAACAAAACGATATTCTTGGCTTAATCTGGTTTAATCTGCCGCCTGCTACATCTCTCACTCTTGACTCGACTGACTGCCGACAGATCAATCCAGTCGAGAGGGTCGAGAGGTGCAGGTGGACTAAACCATTCTACGCATTCAGAAGGGGGGAGGGGGGCCTTTGAGACAGACTCCACATTTTTTCCAGAAATGAATTCTGAATGTTTGTTCATTTATTCAGACAATTTTAGTTACTTAATAGTTAATAGATTGTTATTTCAGGTCCATGAAGGGCCCCCCTCCCCACTGGGGCCCTGGGTAGTCAGTCCCTCTTCGACGCCCCTGTTCATTACCTTCAGCTCTGCCCTACTCGTTATGACCCTCCTCTGTTTCTCTCCGTCAGACATTACTTTGTCTCCAGTCCGTATCTGGGGGTTGAACCCGGGCGAGCAGTTCTACATGTTCACCATCATCTCAGCGTGGCTCATCAACGCAGCGGGGAGGCCGTTCACCGAGCCGCAGGAGTACGACGAACCCAACGCCACCGTGTCCAACATCCTGGCAGAGCTCCGGGCGTTCGTGAGTCACGAGAAACCCTCGAATCTGTTGTCTCAATATCTGCTTATGATTTTATGACCTGCCTGTTTATTTTGATGTGTTTTTACGGCTCTTTGTCAGATTTTATTATGATGTTTATTACAATTATTTACTGTAACATAGTAAATAATAATAATGTGCTACATTTGTGCTTTGAATGAAAGTATCTGCAGCTGATTTTTAACATTTGAGCATGTCTGCGTCTGCTTTTTTATATAGAATAGAATAGAATAGAATAGAATAGAATAGAATGACTTTATTGATCCCAAACTGGGAAATTGTGGCGTTACAGCAGCAGGTTGTCCAAACACACAACATGAGCAAAAAACACAATATAATATTAAATACAAAGTAAATAAGCACTAAAAAATATCAAAACTAAGAATGTGAATATATACAACCAGGATTTAACTAAACATTACTAGTCTTAAATATGAAAGATTAAATGTAAATGTGTAAAAACAGAGTCCTAAATGGACAGTATTGACATAAGTTAAAGTGCATGAGTGCAGACATGTTATCAGCAGAAACTATTCAATATAACAGTGAGTAGACAGATGAAGTGAACATGAGTGCAGGGATCATTAGTAAATGTAACATGTGCAGAACAGATGACAGTATGGAGAGACAGATATGATCATGATGACAGTTCTCTGCTCACATGAGGTGAGCTGTTGTACAGAGTCATGGACTTCGGTAGGAACGATTTCCAGTGACAGTGGAGTCACAAGGACAACATGTTTAGCTAAACAACATGTGTGGCAATATCAACCACATCATGAGCAGCCGAGCTTCTCGAGCTGCAACACGTTTGTTCCTTTCAGACGTGGGCGCTGACGTTGTTCTGCTGCAGAGTTCTTGTTGAGTTTGCACCGATTGCTTTGTTTGTGTCTGATTGGACTCGTCACTGTGTGTGTGTGTTCAGGGCGTTAAGGTGGACTTCCCGCCCTCCAAACTGAAGTCGGGATCGGGAGAATACGTCTGCTTTGTTTGGACCAGCTGGCTGACAAAGCTCTGAGCAGGAGAGGGTTCTCCTTCAGAAGGTACCGGAACACTTCTCCTCCTGTCTCTTTTCTCTGTGCGTCTAACAAAAGGTGCTCGTTGTTACGCTGTCGGGTCTCCTCCCCCTTTCTTTACCCACGTCTCTGAACGTCTCCCATCCATACATTTATTTTAAAGCTTTATTTCTTGGGGCTTTTCATGCCTTTAATTTAGAGATAGGATAGTAGAGAGAGAGAGAGGGGGGAACAACACTTAACCACAAGCTGAATGTGTCCGGTTTTTGTCTTTGCTCCAGGCCAAACTACCCGACAGAAACCACAGAAGAAGAGTCAGTAATGGAGGACGACGCGGAGCTCACACTCAGCAGAGTGGAGGAGGAGATGATCGTGAGTCCAGTAGTCCTGCTCCTCCATATCTTACTGTCACTGCTGACCTTTAACCTCTTAGATGAATGTAAAACCTGTTTATCTTTCTCCATTTTATCGATTTAACTGAATAATTTCAATAATTTGGTGTGTGTGTGTGTGTGTGTGTGTGTGTGTGTGTGTGTGTGTGTGTGTGTGTGGTGTGTGTGTGTGTGTGTGTGTGTGTGTGTGTGTGTGTGTGTGTGTGTGTGTGTGGTGTGTGTGTGTGTGTGGTGTGTGTGTGTGTGTGTGTGTGTGTGTGTGTGTGTGTGTGTGTGTGTGTGTGTTCTCATCTCAGGAGGAGCCTGATGAGGACGAGGAGAACGTGATGGACCTGGAGGCTCTGAAGTTAAGAACCACTCACACTGTGAGTTCTCCTAAAAACACGAAGAGCTTCAAATGATTCAAAACGTGGCCGGTCAGCGTTAACTAGTTCATCACGTTTAATAAAGGGCAGAAATAGACGCTTACATTTTCTTTAATCCTGATTAATCTCATGTTTGTCCCTTCAGGCTCTCCGTAGATAGTGGTCCTCAGTGTCTCCCTGTAGTCTCAGTGATGTAAAAGAAGGACACTGCTGCATCTTTGAATGTCTCATTTCACTTTAACAAACTCTCAGACAGTAATATCCACCTGATGACATCACACACTGACCTCATGACATCACACATTGACCTTATGACATCAGACATTGACCTGATGACATCACACACTGACCTTATGACATCAGACATTGACCTGATGACATCACACATTGACCTTATGACATCACACATTGACCTTAAGACATCACACATTGACCTTATGACATCACACATTGACCTCATGACATCACACATTGACCTTATGACATCACACATTGACCTCATGACATCACACACTGACCTTATGACATCACACATTGACCTCATGACATCACACATTGACCTTATGACATCACACATTGACCTCATGACATCACACATTGACCTCATGACATCACACATTGACCTCATGACATCACACATTGACCTCATGACATCACACAGTGACCTTTGTTACCGTTCCTTTGAGCTGTTTGACCTCACTTTGGGATCTCTAACCACTCCCTGTTTCCTTGCTTAACTTCATGTCCTAACCTTCCATCTACAGGAAGGTCCTTACTTTATTTCAAAATAAAAGCACACAGCAAGTAAAGTACTCTCAGCTCAAAGATCCAAAACAATTTTTATCTGTAAATGGAATTTCAAACATGTGATTAATCGCGATTTAAAAATGTGAATTGTTTGACAGCTTGACATTTTGAGCACGAGAGATGATTTTGGAATACTTAAATAGTCATTTATTATTTATTTAACTAAATGTTCATGCAGCTAATCTCTCATCTTAGAAATGTTCCCTTGAACACAGAAGAAGTGTCACTGGTTCATAATCGTACATCTGTGACACTTTATCGGGACAAACGTTATGTTGTTCGTTCTCAAACAGGAAGCCGACGCGTCCTCCAAACCGGACGAGATTCTGGAGTCGACGGTGGATGCAGCAGAGTGGAGCCTGGAGGTGGAGAGAGTCCTGCCGCAACTCAAAGTCACCGTCAGGACCGACAACAAGGTTGACAAATGAGTATTATTAAACAATCAGCGACTCTATGACTCCCCTCCATCATCAATCAATCTTTATCGGTGTTATCTTGAGACGCTTTGCTTTGTGTGTCGACCTGCAGGACTGGAGGATCCACGTGGACCAGATGCATCAACACAGAGACGGGATCAAGTCCTCGCTCAAGGACACCAAGGTGCGTTCACTGACCTTATATTCAACCACAAGAGCAGTGACGAGATGTTTAACTGACGTCCCCGGTGTGTCGTCCTCCGTCTCTGCAGAGCTACCTGGACAAACTGCAGGAGGACATCGGTAAGACTCTAGAGAAGGTGGGCAGCAGAGAGAAATACATCAACAACCAGCTGGAGCATCTGATCCAGGAGTACCGCAGCGCTCAGGCCAAACTCAGCGAGGTAAACACAAAAGCAACAGCTTCAACTCCTCCAATGTGGGGACTGTAACGGATACATGACACCTACTGGAGGTTTGAGGAATGTTAGAAAAGATGGGAAAAGTGTGAATAAATAATCTGTCCTGAGGTATGTTTAGATTTCAAACTGCTGCTGCCCACCTCTCTCACGTGTGGTTACAAAGCTGTGCTCTTCACCAGGCTAAGGAGCGCTACCAGCAGGCCAGCGGAGGAGTGACTGAGAGGACCAGAGTCCTGGCAGAGGTCAGTTTTTTTTATTCAACCTTTAATCATCCAGATTACTCCCATTGAGATCAAACAGCTGCTTACATAAAGATTTAAAAGCTTTCAGATAAACTTAAGTTTTGCAGTTTAAAGGTCGCATATTCTTCTTTTTCTGGTTTTATTTGCTCTTTAGTGTCCTGTGCATGTTTAGGCACATCTATGTGCAAAAATTCAAAGTCTGCGTAAACGCGGCTTCTCTTACGTCCTCCTGTTAGCTGTAGCATTAGCCGCATGTAACGCTCGGCTCTAGCCCCCCTCGATAAAAATGTGTCAGTCCGACGTCATTGTCAGTGTGAGATCACTGATCTAAGCCCATTGGCTCGTTGTGGCCCAGCAGCTCATGTTGCAATTTCCGAGACATGTGCTGAGCAACTGACCAATAACGACAGAGCGGATCTGCAGACCAATCAGAGCAGACTTGGCCCACGTGGGGTCTAACAGTGTGGGCTCAGCAGAGTGTAGTTGACGGACTCAGAGCGTAGAGGGAGCAAGGAGGAGCAGTTCATGAAAACAGACACTTTTTTAGAACTTTATCTATTGTGAACGTACAAAAGTAGATACATAGATTAAATATATGAACCCTTAAAGGGCAGAATATGGACTCTTTAAAAGCAATCACGCGTCAAGCTGGATAGAATAAAACGACCCATACAGAAAGTGAGACAAGGAAACGCACAGAGCGTCTGGTCAATTTCAAAATAAAACACATATACGGACTCACAATCATATATTTTTTTTTTATCACTTTATCAACATGATGTCAAAACAGGCACAGAGTGAACAACAAATCATCCTCAGAAAGACAAAGCAACATGTTGTTTGCACGTTTTTTTCTCTTTATTCCCGCGTGATCTTGTAGTTCTCCCGTGATGTGTGAACAGCTGCTCATGGCTGCGCTCGGACCCAGTGGTGCAGAGCGCTCCCCGTCTGAGAGATTCAGAGGTTTCCACAGCAGCTATGCCCGCGAGTCCCTCTGACAGCTGGGACAGAGGGATTAGAGGAAATTGGCAGTAAGGCTGATGGCAGTCTGTTTGTTGTGCACACCTGTAAGGTTTACCTGCAGCCAGAGAGGAGCAACAGGAACTCCTAAACATCCGCAGGTTCAGTTCATCCAGGATTTACTGAGATTTACTGAGTCTTTCAGAGTTCTGAACTCAAAGTAGCACCTTTGGTTTTACTGCACTTAGGCTGTTGCTGAAAAAAACGAGCCAACAGCGGAGCAAGGTGGCAACCGTCAAAACCGCACGTGTAATCACCTCACATCCTGTTCAGACGGACAGAAAGGCGACTGCACTGTTACCTGAATCGAATGCAACTTCTCCTCTTTGGGAACATTTCAGCTTTCAGTCAAATGAAAAATGAGAACCAGCTGATTTAGACGATGCAGTTTGTAAAATCTGCAGCAAAACAATCCGTGTGAAACGAGGAAAAGGATTATCGTAACTGTGACTTATACTTATTTATTATTTTGTTAACAACAACACCGCGACAATCAGAGACAGAAACAAACGTTCACGCTACAGAGCAGTGTGAGAGCAGCGCAGCAGACAGGAGACTGCGCCTGGTCAAGCAACGTCACAGCAGCAACAGTTATCACCTCCTCTTAAGACTTTTTCCTACAAAAAAAAAAATGCACAAAACTTTTTGTTTTAAAAAAAACCTGCACAGAACGATTTGGCTACAGAATACATAACGTGATGACAGAGAGACCAAAGCAGGAGAGCGGCTTATCAGGCTCAGCAGGTACTGATGCAGTGAGCTCTGTGCTCTTCTCATTTTAATCTGTGTGTGTTTCAGATCAGCGACGAGCTGGAGAAGGTGAAGCAGGAGATGGAGGAGAAAGGCAGCAGCATGTCGGACGGAGGTAAAAATGGCGACTGATTCTCTGCGTGACTGTAGTGGGCTGTGTGTATTTTCTCCTGACTGCTGCTTGTGTGTGTGTGTGTGTGTCGGTCCTTCAGCTCCGGTGGTGAAGATCAAGCAGAGTCTGACCAAGCTGAAGCAGGAGATCGTTCAGATGGACGTGCGGATCGGTGTCGTCGAGCACACGCTGCTGCAGGCCAAACTCAGAGAGAAGTCCAACATGACGCGCGACATGCACGCCACCAACATCCCCGAGCCCGCCACAGGGGCCTTCTCATAGGTATGCCTGCACACAGGGGCCTTCTCGCTGGTATACTTGCACACAGGGGCCCTTCTCTTATGGAATACCTGCACACAGGGGCCCTTCTCTTATGGAATACCTGCACACAGGGGCCCTTCTCTTATGGAATACCTGCACACAGGGGCCCTTCTCGCTGGTATACCTGCACACAGGGGCCCTTCTCGCTGGTAATACCTGCACACAGGGGCCCTTCTCGCTGGTATACCTGCACACAGGGGCCCTTCTCGCTGGTATACCTGCACACAGGGGCCCTTCTCTTATGGAATACCTGAACACAGGGCCCTTCTCCCTCACCTGTCTCCTTCCTCTCTCACCTG